AGTGCTGCATTTCAGGATGCCTATTTCATTACGGGAGGTGCCCGTCGAACTTGGTACAGATTCCTGTTCATTTCAAATACAGTGACGAAGTACGCCGCTAATGCGGGCGCACGATCAGTGCTCAAGGTAAGGGACTGCCCATCTGAGCACTTTAACCCTGGCACATTGCTTGCAGGCCTCAGGCGACGCTTCACATTGGCCAAGATCCTTTTTGGAGCCGATTTTGCTACTGCTGTGAGCTACTTTTTGAAGTTTCCGCGCTTTTTCGCGTTGTTGCAGAAATTTCGTCGTCTTTTGTACGCCTCGTAAGCGTCTTCAGAACCAGATACAATGACTTTGTTCATTGTCTTCCTCGCCGCCGAGCCAATTTGCTGTACACTGTTACACCAGTGTGGCTTGACTGGTCCAACTTCCCGATACTTAAGAGGTACCATTCGGGCGCACAACGATTTTACTCTCTCTACTGATAGTTCAGTAGCTGAGGCGTTTCCCACCTCTAGCTAATGTGCATACTGAATGATGATGACTGACAGCCCAGCAGGCTTCAATATATGAATCCCTTGGTAACAACCAGTCCATCTGACTCGCAATTCGAGTGAAGCCATTAAAGTCCGCCTTCCACTAGTTGAAGGCTGGCTCCAGTGAAGGAGAATACGGCAGTAGCAGCTTTATCAAGTGGTTACTCTCCCCATGGGTTCCAGGACCGTAATTAAATGCGCACGTTGCTCACTGTTGGTCAGTATCAGATCTAAGGACGATGGAGTCGAGCGCGCGGTTATGCCCTTTGGTTTGTTGATGTGCTGTGTGCCCGAGTTTCAAATATCATCTCCGTGAGCTTCGTCTCTACTTCACAACGGCCGGGGAGGAGTTCGGCCTCAGACTATTGTAGTCGAGGCAAGTTGAAATCGCATCATCATCACCGTCATCATTACACATTAGCTGGAGGTGGAAAACGCCTCAGCTATTGTGCCGCAATACAAAAGACAAGAAAAGGAAAATAAACAGTGGCACGCCGACTAAGTCCCCAGTAAGAGATGGAGATCGTTCCGGAGAGCTAACAGCTGGCTGTCGTAAAAGAGAATCATATTATGCCTAACAAATGAGATCATGATTGGAGGGGGATACTAAACAGGAGGGGGATGGACAAAGGAACTCACAACACAAACGCCACTGATGCCGGCTCCAAGCCATATCAGCAAGTGTGTCCAACCAAACGTGTTCACCGTCCTTAGGACCCCAGCCAGGCAATAGGGATTCACCAACCAACGCCAACTTCGAAGCGAGGGCTTTCATTTCTCTCGACCAAGTCATCACTTGGCCTCCCCTCCTCCTCTTCCAACCGCACCCACAACACGCAAACAATGCACGTCGCGGGAGTCGGTGCGCTGGCATGCGCAACACGTGGCCCAGCCATCGGAGCTTGGTGCGTGATATAATGGTACTGAGCGGTTCACACGCTCTTCCTGCACCAAATACGCGACGTCGAACACGCTCATTGCTCACGCGGCGTTCCCACCAGACATGAGCTAAGCTGCGAAGGCAGCGATGATCGAATGTGACGAGCCCCTTTATGTCTGTCGACCTGATGGGCCAGGTTTCACAACCATATAAGAGAGTGGAACAGACGGCTGCATTGTAAACTCTGCCCTTAAGGGCGAGAGTAATGTCGCGTCTGCGCCACAGGTGGCGGAGATTGGCAAAAGCACCTCGAGCTTTATCTATGCGGTTCGTAACCTCATCTTCAATCCCACGGGTGCTAATATAGCTGCCCAGGTACTTGAATTCCTGAACGATTTCTAGCAGATCACCATCAAGTGTTAGCGCAGGTTTGGGTCCCTGCCAATGTTGGAGAAGTACTTTGCATTTCGATGGAGCAAAGCATAGCCCAAAACGATTGGCAGCCAGTGTTAATCGGTCCAGTGCTGTTTGGCATGTTTGGGAGCTGTCACAGATTAGGGCAATAACGTCCGCATACTCCAAGTCAAGAAGTCGCTCACCAGGAAGTAGCTCCACACGTAGGTCGTGTCCAGCGAACGCTGTTTCCATGACTTCATCAATAGCGAAGTTGAAGAGGAAAGGTGACAGCGGGCATCTTCGTCTCACACCGCTGGTGATACTGAAGGGTGGCAACAGTTTGCCATAAACCCTCACTTTGCCCGAACTATGCTCGTACAGCGCTTTGATAATGTTTACATATTTATCAGGCACACCTTTCCTCAGCAGACAGTCCCAAAGGGCACATCGATCGACTGAGTCGAAGGCACCTTTTATGTCAAGAAACACGACAACGGTGGGCCGCCAATAAACATGGCGGTGCTCTAACACTTGACGCAAGGTGAAGATGTGGTCGATTCAGCCCCGACCTCGACGAAATCCGGCTTGCTCTTCACGAACCTGGCTTTCACGAGTGCCTGTCAATCTGTGGAGAATGACAGAGGCAAGCAATTTAGAGGCGATCGGAATCAGACTGATTCTCCTATGATTGCCGCATTCCGAACGGGAGTTTCTCTTGAAAATTGGGACAATGACGGAGCGGTTCCAGTCTGTCTGGACTGTCTCCTGCTTCCAAAGTTTTACTAGCAACCCGTGTAGATCATCTACTAGAGCAGGTCCTCCGAATTTGAAGAGGGCTGGGGGAATTATATCTGCCCCTGCGGCCTTATGCAATTTCAACAGCCTGATCTCACACGCGTGATGGCGGATCCAACGAGACGGCCCAGGGAGAAGGGCGCTCAATACCCGAAGAAAAAAGCGATAACTCAGGTTGATTAAATTGCCTTGCAAAGTGTTTAGCCCAACGCTCCAAGCGTTTTGACAGGTTGTGGATCGGCTGCCCACTCTCGTCGCGCATGGTCTCGCTAACACCAGGTCTTCTGCTGCCTGTTTCCCGTATCAGATGGAGTAACTTACGATGATTACCAACGGCAGCGGCTGTTTCCATTTCCGATGCACGATGAGACCATCAGCATTCGCGGTCCTTCTTCAGGCTAGCATGTAGTTTTGCATTGACATTTTTGCGAGTCTCATTGTATTAGTTTCCAGCCGGAATACGTCGGCGAGCATCGATAAGTTCCAGAGATTGTGTAGAGACCCAATGTCCGGTTTGGTAATTTGCTTTGCCACATGAAGACAGGCCTGCTAACAGCATCACTTGACGAATATGCGACCACTGATCTTCAACGGTGTTTAGTGAACGTTTACTCAGCCCAGATGTCAGCGTACTTTGGTACGCATTCAGAACATCTGGCTTCGCCAGCTGGCTGGTGTCAATCCGTTCACAACGATGTTGCGGACTTCCACCGAAACCCACCAGGAGGTCGGCACAGACAAGTGCGTGGTCAGAGTCCACGCTCGTGATCCAAATCGAGCGACAGTTGAAATCGCACATGAGCAGGAACTGCAGATGACTCATGGAAATAAACTAATTTTGACTGTGAACACCTCATTTAATCGAGCATTAGTGCTTGATCAGAATACGCCATATTTACGACAGACATATCGCCGACTAATTTTGCAGTTGCATGGGAACTGCCCCTAGGTCAAGATGTTGTGACTGCCGGGGATTATCTCCATTCATCAACGAAACCATCATTTATTAATAGCTTTACTTTACTTGTTTGGATGTCCACCTTAGTGATTGGCATTCAGCCACTCTCGGGTGCATTCTACTACTTTGCATCATGTTTATAGGTGACATAATCGATTTCGTTTTATTGCCAGCTGATTTACTTAGACGGTTAACAGTTTCCCTATTTAATGAGTAAATAGAGTCTATTCTTGAAGTTCGCAGATGCACCTCATTTGCCGTACTCGGTCAGTTACGAATAATCTATAAAGCGATCGGTAGCGCACACAAAGTTTGTTGTGAGGTGGGCACATGTGTATTGGTAGGATATTGATACTTGATTGTGACGTTATGTCCGTTTCAAAATCGAAAATCCTCGACTAGCTCTTCCACTTACAACTAACTCTGTCGCTCTTATTTTTGTGCACCAAAGTATGCTTCCGTAGTGGGGAGATAAAGGTACTGGTGAGGATTTGAACGTACGCGGAATGCGCTTATTCACATTTTCCCGGACTCTTGAAAGCGACTATGTTTATCAAAATGCGTTGGCCGTACTCGGGTTCCGAAAACTCAGGAACTATTTGTTTTATTTCAATGAAACTTAGAGCGAGAATTATGAGGGGTAAAGTTTAAAATCTGAGTGTATCTCAGTGGCTAATTGTGGAGCCAAATGTCGCATCGACATCACTGAATTCTTAATATTAGCGAGTATGTAACGTTATCCGTTATTATCATGGAGGGGGCAGTTGAAACGGCTTACTAACGCAACTGCTAAGTTTGTCATCATTTGCCGAACTTCCCCCAAGTTCACTTTCAGGCCCTACTCAGGAAACATGACTTAGGGCTTTAACAGTTGTTCGTAATCGTTTTAGTCAGTCCCTTTCGATAACATTGATTCCCAGGACTACAATGCTCCTGAACAAAAACTGTGTTTCAACTCTATTCCAGCGAATAACATCGCAACTAATTTCATTCATATAGTAATTTATAGGGAGGTATTGTGGTCTGTCCCGCTTTTGAGTTAAAAAAGCTCTAACTTTTATTTGAACAATTGTGGTAATCTTGGAAACGTGAAGTGGAAACCACTGATGGGTGACCTTTCCGAAGTGCCATTACGCTCAGCATGTTATTGATATGCCTAGTGGATTACCACTTTCACAGAAATGATTTTGGGAACGTGTTCAGAGTGGCATATAATAAGTAGCATTAGTTATCGAGATGATCCTTCATTAGCACTTCACCCTTAATTGGATGTTCTGCATGTTAACTTCGGTACACTCGTGGTATAAAAGTGAAAGAGCTGATGTTTTAACTTCCCGTATGGAATTCTGAACATCTCTGTCCGATTTATATCAGAAACACTTGATTTTGATGACCTAAAACCTGTCACTGCCAAGTACAAATGCTACGCGTCTCATCTGATTCTGACTTCCAGAGTGGTGCCAATACCAGCTCCAGAGCGTGTCCATTGTTGCCCACCAATACTTCTCGAAACCCAGCTCCCAGTAGAACAGCCACAATCTCCAAACAGTTCTCATCTGATGACCTATGGACATGGCCGTGCGTGGTCACTCCTGAGCCCTACCTCTCCGAGCCAATACGCAATCGAACAGTCACCGTCTGTTAGTCGAAGTCTCCCTCGCAACGGCGAAATTAATAGGTTCAATCCAAGCCCGTGCTCACCATCCTCCTTCTTAGAAAGGCTTCCGAAACCAGCTGTGCAATATACATATCAAATACGTCCCCAGAAAACATCGTATGCAAACACCTTCCCATTTAGAGTGAGATCAGATTTGGAGCTGAGTGATGTGAGCTGTTTCTCAGATCCAATCGAGTAAGTTGGTGATATCGGACGAATCTTTTGCACAAGTAAATCTTATTGTCCAGTATCACTTTGTATATAAAGTCATAGAGGTTATCCTGTAAACGGAATCGGTTACAGAATTGCGCCCAAAGTGCAGAAAGGATCTGCTCGAACACAGTCTTGGGTCTGACGTTATCCAGTGGAATCGACGCAGCTCATATGAACCTTGACAGTTTAGTCATGCTACAGCAGTAAAGCTTGGGCATTCGTTTATACCATCATTTCCATCAGACCCAGTCTCAGCCATACTCATAATTAACCTCTTCTTTTCAAACTCAACTTATACACTTGTGGATTTTGACATCATATGTTTGCCATATGTTTACACAACACCTGTGAAGGTGCCTTGAACCCACAAAGTTCAAACAGGCACATAGAGACTGCAATGGGAGACTCGGATAGGTGCTGTCAGCTTAATTTAGATAAACTACCTTGAGTTAGCAGCATGACGCATTTCCTATGCAAACCTCGCCAAATCATATGTGAAAATGTGAGTGCTGCCTTTACAACATAGGAATCGTGTGTCGACAAATTGCCAGTTCTTCCTAGCCTCATGTGATTCTGCCTCAGAACAGGTTTATTTCTCAAAAACTCCCAACTCCTACTCAAACCAGATGACAATGACATAGATAAGTCTTACTTCATGGGAAAGATCTTTGCAGATATAATACAGCTGCGCCTTATCCATGCTTCCAAATAATGACTGCTTTCTGAAGAAACACTATCAGTAGACATTGCCATACTTCACTGAATATGCAAGCGGAATAAAAGTACTGTCACTATTAATCAATCGGAAACAAGTTAGTAAAACCTGTTGAATGTTCTTGATCCAGAAAGCTTGGGGAATGACCGGTTAATATATTTGTTACATGCCACGGATATCCGTCGAGTCTGCTGAAACAATGATTTCCTGACCGGTTCTAAGCCTGTTTCAAACCATCGAAGACCGTTGATTTAGCTTGTTTTCCTTTTGAAATAGCGGGTTAAGGGAAAAATTTGATTTCAGTGAATACAATAAGATGATCGCTTAAAACTGAAATTATAATTGTTTCAAGTACTTAATATATGCTAACGGTCACAGTAATACTTAAATGAACTCGTATATATGTTCCCTTTAAAGGGGACGCAAATTAGAACGCAGTGAAGCTCTCTCTCTCTCTCTCTCTCTATATATATATATATATATATATATATATATATATATATATATATATATTCACTGCGTTCTAATTTGCTCCCCATTTAAAGGGAACATTTCAAATACCAAATTGGTTTGCGACAGAAAGAGATGCCTTTCGTTATTTGAAAACTGAACGCTCTGCAGCATGAAATAGCGCCACAATGTCTGAAATTTTCATCACGTATCCATAAGAAACATCGAATGATTCACAGTTGAAGTATAGATGTACGGCCAATTCTCCGATGGTTGGCGAGTTGGCTGTATGTTAGCCATGTAGTCCATGGAAGACATACGAATAGTCTTACCTGAGCTGTAGGATGGCCCGCATCCGGTGCCTCAACCACCCGAAGGTAACCAGTCATCTAGCTGGCTGCTCTGCGTCCCCATTGTATGAAGGTTCCATCATCATCATCATCATCATTATCATCATCATCATCATCTCCATCATCATCATCAGCATCATCCTCACCCACCTCATCAACTGCAGTACATCAGCCGTTTCGAACTGATACGTTGCTGCCATAAAACCCTAATGGTCTACGGAACGACGAATTATACGAGAGATAGAAGGGAGACTTGCCTGAAAACCTTAGTGCCCTATGCAAACATTCAGGGTCAAGGCGCCTACACCTTGTGTTAACATCATACCGTCACAAACAGCTGGCTATCGTGCAAAGATAAGGCGGCATCAGCGAGACAGCTTCGGTGTGGCTTTTACTGCCACGCGTCATACTCAGCCATTACCGCGCAGATAACTCAGCACCAAACACACTCTAAACAGTCAATCCGATTAGGAGACGGCAGTAGACGCGCCACTGGTGTCGGTTGCGAGCCATGTCCTGTAATGTCTCGAGCCAAGCACAAGGCGTGTCACATAGACTCCAGTCTGGAAGACGAGACGGACCAACGGCCCCCAGTTTGGTCGCCAGTGACTTCATTTCCTTCTACCAAATCAACCTTTGTCCACCCCTAGCCTTGCGCCACCCTACTGGCAGACAAGACAAGGTCCTTCTCGGTAAGCGGTGACTTGGCATGCGTAGTACGTGCCCGAGCCAACATAACTTACTCAGTACTAACTGCTATTCTGAGGATCTACCTTGAGTATCACGGAATAACACGCTTACGCACTTCATTGTTGGGAACACGTTGGTACCACCCGACATTAGCAATACTTAACAGACAGCGATGATCAAAAATTTGAACACGCCTTAGATCTTCGGGCCGAAGGGGCCGTCTCAGTCCCATAGAACAGGGCGGCCCTCACTGTGGCCTTGTATACATGGCATTTCAGACAGAGGGAAACCCGTTTTTCGCCAAAGATGTCGCAGATGCAAAAATACTGTTTTGACTTGCGAAATACATGAACTTACCTCAGTACCTATACACACATCGTTGCTGATACAGTTACCAACATAATTGAATTAGTCAACTACCTCGAGTTCCTTGCCATTTAAGATCAAGGAATCATCAAGTGGCTGGTGTTCCTGCAGCAAGACTTTTCACTTTGAAGGTGCGAAACGCATACAAAATAATGGAACCACCTTACACAGGTTATTCAGGATGGATTGCTCCGCCCCAACATCGTTAAAAAGCAAGACAATATTGTCTGCATATTCAAGACCAAGTATCCTCTCACCAGGCATCACCTCAATGCCTGCATGGTGAGAATCCATAAGGGAACACTTCATGATGCAGTCCACGACGAAATTGAAGATAAAGATTTCGCTGGCGGAAGCTAACTTAGTGGCTACTATTTTACATGTAGATAACAGCGAAATGGTGCATATTCTTAGACCCATTCGAGAAACCTACGTTATCCACTCAAAAGGATTTCTGAGCTGCTTAATGATTCTATCGGAATAGAAATTGATACAGTATGGGTGTCGCTCAGATCAGCATACTTCCTAAAGACTGTGGAATCGATAGCCCTCAAGTTAACGGAACCAGAACTTTGCAAGCAGTGGATACTATTACAATCTTTCACTTTGTCGTGGTCGTTATGAGGATTTATCCGCATGGAACATTGATGAGACCGAGGATGGCGTCACTCCGCGGCTGACCCAATTTGCTTCGCAAAGATACAAGCGAGCTTTGTTGACTGGGGTCAAATAAGGTCCGTTTTCATCAACAACACTGGATCAACCACTTGGCCCGATCAATTTAACTTCGTTCTAATAAACTGATCCAGTTCAGACACCGTACCACTTTCCTTTCAGCTCTTATTAGCTTATGCTTATCCAAGTTATTTTTGTAAACGTAGTTACCTGATGTGAGTGGCCGAAAAGAGATTCCTTTGCAACCGCGTGATTTTTACATTTTTAGAGACATTATCTACCATATAAGAATTCGGATTGAAAGAGTGATGATTTGGTCAACGCCTGAAGTCTGTGCCCTCTTATTCTTTCTCAATCCCGATAACGCGTCGCTTCATAATTTCTTACCCAAAACTCAAGCTTATACCAAATCCCCATTTACTTAGAAGCACGTCTAACGGGATACCTCTACATCTGCTCCAGGTAAAGCTACTCTCTGCTTGTATTCCGCGCCCTATCACTCAGTTGGACATAAATTAAAAATTTTGGTAATCCTGCTTCTTCGGCTCGGTGGATATGACAACGCCACTCAACGTACCGTTGTAGCAACACAGTTTATTCCGCACATGCTACTTCTGTGTACTACCTCAGCACGCCGCAAGACGGAGGAAACCTGCCGTAGGCTTTGCGGGTGAAATCGTTTTAGATCATTGATGTGTTTCGCGAAAAGCCTTCAATGACCTATTCATCATCAGCTTGGCTCCAATTGTCAGCTTACGGTGAACAATGAAAATAAATTTATGCATATTAAGAAGCAACGATTTACATGTCCCGTGGAGTGGTTTTGCAGGGTTATCGAAAAACAAACAAGAATTGGGTTATTTACGTTTAAAAGAGGGACTTATCGTTTCTTTTATTGTAGTCCTGCGATCCATTTAGTTTCACAGCACAAATAGGTAACAGCAAATAAGTCCAAAGTAGATTTCAGGAATGGGATAGAGATGTACTACTAGGTATCAACGTGTAGTTGAGAAAGTGAGTCATCCAAACGTCTTTTAAATATGGATAGTGATTGATGCAGAAATGACCGATTCCACGGGTGACACACGCGAACAGAACAGAAATTCCTGCGGCAATCTAGGCGGCTGTACTGTTTTGTTATGTTTAGTCAGTGACCTCTCAAATTGGTATTACTACTGAGTTGCATTAAAAAGCGGCACACATGATGTGGATCGTGCAAAATTAATTACGCCGTTATCAGGGCAATTCGTAAGCGGCGGTAACGTCCGCTGGATACCACCAGTAGTAGGGGAGATGGTGCATTCCAATGACGTAATTTGATGCCAGACATTGGGGCTGCTCCAATGTACCAAGGTTGTGTGTTTGCCATGGATGCTAGGCTTGAATCGCATATTCGATATGAGGACGAACATATGCACTAAGCATCTGCCGGAAAATAGAGTGATCTACTTATCCGAATGTCCGTCGTAACAGGCCCACATGTTGGTTACCAGTTTTTTGAAGGCTTTCTCTGATTGCCTGGAACAACCCAGATCATCCTGAACCAGTGCGCCAAAATTACGTTCGGTGTCATTTCCCTGCAGCCCATGCATTCCGAGCCTATAACAGTGGAGAGCACCTTGAATTTACTCACATTAAATTGCAGGGAATTTTGGATGTCTTTAAACTTACTGGTCCAGTTTACTGGAAGTCACTCTCGCCGACACACGTGCGCGAAGATCACAGCCTAGCTGCAA